ACACACAGTCACTGATAACGCTTGTTTCAGTTTTCTGGAGACAAGATTTCAACCACGTCACTGATGCATCTTTGTGGCATTGGGATATATATTTTTTAAATCCTCTGGAGCAGAGAGAGGAGCTGTGGATTATTGTTATTGATTATTGCATCAGTGTTTCTTAGGGTCAAAAACACTAAACTCACAACTTAAAATGAAAGCGTTTAGTTTATTTAATAAAAGAGCACATGTTCAATGTGAAAAGTGACAGTAGTTATACATTATTTGCAATTTGGTGCTATATATATATTTAAAAAAAATATATTATATATATTTTTGAAACACCTTGAATTTCAGGGGGGGGCGCGGGGCTCCGTTGGCGGGGCGCAGCGCCCCTCCAACACAATGGTAGGGGAAACACTGGATAGTGTTTAATCAACGATAGGTTTTCCCCCCCTCAAAGGTGATTGGTTCACTGCATCGCAGGTATTATTGTGATTGGCTCTTGGGTCACATCAAAATTAGACGCGCTGTCATCCTCTCATACTGACACCTGACACCACACATACACACATAGGGAGAGCCGGGACGAAAGTAACACGGGACGAAAGTAACGGAGCGATTTTATCCGAGCCCAAACAACTTTGACCGGCCAAATTACGTCAGAATTATCAGCATTCAATACTTAACAGACCTACTAAATATCAGGTTTAACTGTCAGGAGTAGCTAGTGTTGTCACGGTACCAACATTTTGGTTTCGATACCAAGTCAAGAATTGCGATTCCGATTCTTTTTTGATACTTTTCTTAAAAAAAGGGAAACAGTCTTAAATGTAATTATTGTGCTTTATTTCACACCAGAACCATAACCATAACACAAACTTTTCAACAATGAGAACAATAAATAAAATAAATGACAAGAATTCGTATTAAATAAAATTAATACATGTCTCACAGACAGGCCTCGTGGTGTCCGTAGGCTTGCCCTCACTGTCAGAGATATAGCTCAAATACTTCCAAATTTCGCTTCTGGCGTCTTTTTTGTCAACAAGCCGAGGCGCAGCGGCAGCTGCACTCCCACTTGCAGCCATGCTTCTCGTTTTCTCACATGCTCTGGCAGCTAGCGCGTGCACGAGAGAGGGGAGGCACTTAGAGCGTGCTTGAGAGGGGAGGGACTTAGAGCGTGCTTGAGAGGGGAGGGAGTTAGAGCGTGCTTGAGAGGGAGGGACTGCAGGCAAGGCTGCAGTGCAGGGAGTGGAAGCAGAGCGCTGAACACACACGGCTCTTATTAAAACGGCGCTTTCTCACCGGAGTACTTTTCCCCGTCATTCTTAAAGTACCGATACTAATGAAACGGCGGAATCGTAACGTTTTTAACGGCAGGGTATCGCGGTACCTTTCAAGTATCGGTACACCGTGCAACACTAGTCAGGAGTCAATGTCTCTCCCCCAAACTCACACATATACAATTCGATATGAACTGAAGAGCCGCATGAAACTAGGCAAAGAGCCGCATGCGGCTCGAGAGCCGCGGGTTGGCCACCCCTGCGCTAGAGTGAGGGGGGCCCCCAAGCCAAAGCTCGCTTAGGACCCCCAAAAGTCTAGAGCCGGCCCTGTCTGTATATAATGTGATTAACACTGAATCAGAAAGGTCCTGCTGGTATCTGTGAAGTGCTTGAGGGGAAGTTTCAGGGTACATTAGCACATCACACAGTAGCTGATCTGCATACCTGATGCTGCGGGCAAACACTCTGGATATGACTCCTCCTGTATGTGGGGGCTGTTTTCTGACCTCTTTCGGGAAATTGCACATTGTTCAATCAATTAAAATAAACATATTACCTTAAAAAAAGAAAAAAAAGAGTCCCTGATGTGGTTGTTGTATGCCTTGATAAGCAATATGTGCTTGTTAACATGCTTGAATTGATTTTCTTTTTTACTGAACAACACATGGCTTGCTTTGACATAATTTCACCTTGAATTGAACTTAAGAGTCTCATGTGTTTTTTTGTTTGTAACTAATGTGGAAATCATTTTAAATCTGAGTAATGTATAATTTAAGAGGCTGCGAGATTTAAGATTCAGTTCAAGGAAAGCATTTATTGTGCTTTCTGGTGACCCATGTAAGTGTTTTCCTTGAAGTGGTCATTAGGACTTTGCCAGAATTCCCTCTTGTGATTTTCCAAAAAAAAATTCCACTTGTATTTTGGTGTGACCATCTTTGGGATGAGGTAGCTCGGAGAATAGCAGCTAAATTGCATTTTTTAGGACGTTTTTGTTTTACTTCAGTATTTGTCTTGCCTGTGTCCAGCCTGACCACCCCCATATGTTTTCGCACTTTATAAACATGTGGTGTTCTATTATAGGAGATGTGTAGTGAGGACTGTTGTAGAAACGCTTGGTCTGAAATGAAGGTTTTGCTCTGTAATTAATTGATTGTGCAAGTCTAGGTCCAGAGAAAACAAATGATCATGTTGGTAAAACCATAGTTTTGGTTCGATTTCAGCATTTTATCCATTTGTTTTTGTTTCTCAATTGTGCTTTAAACACACAAAAATCTCCATTGCGTGGCAAAGACAAGGTTTTCATTGAGGGAAACACTGAGGTTTGCTTGGAGAGGACAGTGGAGGGATGTGGGTGCAATGCCCCAGACCTTGCAGTGTGAAAATAGCTCAGCCTTCAAGCTTGTGGTTTGCGTGTAGAATAACATCAGCGATCATTATAAAAGGTTGCATGTATCATGGGAAAATGCAATATGTGTTTTGACATCTGCAGGTTAGAAACCAATGAGTCTGGGGGAAAGAAAACCGTATTAAAACCCAAGTGACATCACTATTACCAAAGTCCCTCCGTAGTCAGGTTTATATTTAAATCGTGGTCAAGAAATGAACGGGAAATGATATATGTGCGTGTGTTCTGTGTTTAATTTGAGCCTGTTAGTAGGTGGTCCTATGGTAATGAAACCTATGGCAAAAAATGAAAAGCAATTTTACTTTTTCTCCCAGGATGTGTGGTCTGCGTGATTTTCAAAACTAAACTCTGTTTTTCAACCACCAGAGATCTGGAGGAATCAGTCAGCTCTTTAATTTTGCGCTCTAAGTGACAGGCAAATAAAAAGCATGTCGTCATGGCTTCAGATGTTTCTTTGTATAGTTTGATTATAGGAATGAGAAAATAATGGATCTACTGCAAAGAGAGGATAGTTTTAGTTTTATCCTTAACTACTTATTAGTGGTCAAAGTTGGGCAGATGTTTTCAATAATACAATATGGATGCCAAGCCATAAGGGAGGCTTTTGCCAGGAATCTGTGGGGAAAGGGACTTTACTCTCACTATCAAGTGCTGAGGTCCACGGTTTAGCTAACAATTAGGGGCCTCTACGGTCGGAAATTGCATTTTTCTTCCCTTTGAACATGCAACTCTTTGTCTGAAATAAGTAGACATATATTATTACAAAGTCTCATGTTGTACATTCTTCATGAAAATAGATGAAAGAGATTTGGTGATCTTCAGGAAAAGCACAGAGTAAACAATCTTGAAGCTTCCTGCACAACTTTTCACATATTCCTCAGCACAATTTCACAAATGTGAATCTTTAATTGAATGTTTCATCTGATCAGCTAATCCTGTAATTAAAAGCAAAACTATGTGAAATGTAACCGGATGTATTGCATTTTTTTAAACTTTTTTTAGATGTTTTGACTCGTAATGTCTGTTCATTAAGGACCAAAACGAGGAGAGGGATGAGGTATTCCACAAGATATATGATCATTTTCGATTTTTGATTATTATTAATACTGCTAAAATAGAATATATTTATTAAATAGTGACAGTAGAGATATGAAAACAAATTACACCTCGACCTCCAGGGAGCCGTGATAATTAAATTGAAAGATTAAAAAATAATCCATTAGTAAGTTGAGTAATAAAATAATTGGCAACAAACACTAATTGAATGTTACAGTTAGTAAACCAGGCAAAATGGCAAACCCCTTGTTTCCAGCATCTCGTAAATAATAATTAATGGATTATATTAAAGTTTTGGACTCTTGGTCAGCCATGAGATCGGCAAATATTCATATTTTTAATATAACTTGAAGAGAAGAAAATCTATATTAAACTGTTCACTAGCATGCCTCATTAGTGCTTGTCAATATCAAACTAATGAGACAGAAGGGAAACTTTCCAATATTTTTACATTTCTATATTCAACATAGCTTTTATTATGCCTTTGTAACAGGTTATTATATGTTTGTGGATGGTCACAAATAAATGTCAGCTTGGAGTCAGGGATTATTTTATTGGGTTAAGGTGGTCAAAAGCCAAGATCACTGCGATCTAACGAAACAGGGTTTTGGCAACAAACAAAAAAGAAAGAATATGCTTGTTATGATAGTTTAACACATGTCTAATAAAATAAAACTTATAAAGTGATGACATTTTGGAAAGAAGTTGATGTAAACTGCATCATGACTTGTTGACGGAAGCATACAACCACCACTCATTAGTATTTCGCCATAATAAGATACTAAGAGTACTACAATGCAGTGTGGCAGGAAATATTTTTTTAATGAGATCCAATCTGAAATGAATAGCATACAGCAAAAAAACAATATGATGCTATCAAGAAGAAAACATTCATTAAATATGCTGCAACTCACAAACAAGCCTTAATCAACAAACCAGATTCAATGGACAACTTGTTATCTGCATGTGGGAAATTAGAATTTTTGCTAATCTTAATTGTATGAGCAATGATTGGGTTTTTGTTTTCCCCATAACCAAGGCTTTCTTTAAACACAACAAAGACTCACCACACATTACAAGGCTGTTTAACAGTGCTGATTTACATACTGTGTAAAGTTCATACCTGGCCTACTTTTCAAAGGAAAACATAATCCTTGGCAACATGCTGCACTTCTTCTCTTGTAAATGCCTACAGACATGTAATGCTGCAGCAGAGGGAGAACAACACTCTGTGGTTCTAGATTTAAAAGTCAGTAATGCTGTTGTCTCCTCAGAAAGTTACTGCTCACCAGAATGGGACGGCATTGTTTGTTGGCCTGGAGGGCCTCCGGGAAAGCTTGTATCAACCACCTGTCCGGAGTATATCCATGACTTCAACCATAAAGGTGAGCCCTAGCCCCGGATACAGCTGAAACCGTAATGCTTTTTTCCAGCTGCTCAAAGAGCACCAGGCCCCGGATGCTAACGTACTGTAATCATAACTTGGCTTCCTAACCTCTTTCTCAAGTTCAACAATTATTCAGGTCCAATTAAGAAGCAAGCTGAGGATGAGTAATTGCTTGTGTTGAAAAACAAGTGGCAAAATCTGTAATTAAAAATAGCCTTTTCTGTTTGATGTCTAGGACTGGCATACCGTCGGTGTGACAACAACGGAACGTGGGAACTGGCCACAGCCAACAAGACGTGGGCCAATTATAACGAATGTTCAAAATTCCTCCTCCATTACAACCCTAGCCATGAAAGGGTAAGGTCCGTCTCATCGCCATTTCCATGCTCATGGTCACAGTTACAGTGTCTTCCTCCAGAATAGCCTTTGTCAATGCATCACGTTCATTGTAATGCTTTAGATATTTCAGCCTTCTAGGCATTTGATGCACCGTTTTACCCTGCAATTATGACCCCTTTTAAATGTGTAGCACATTGTCAGCATGCCTGCTAAGTAATGCACAGTACAAATGAAATTGAGTCTTATTGAGTGAAATGTAGAGATAATGACGGGAAGATAATGACAGTATGGCAATGTGGTGGCTTTTCGATAATATGAGACTTCAATCAGCTGAATGTCAGTATAAACTAAAGGGATTGCTACACTGACTTAATTGCTAATTGCAAAACTTCTCAAAAAGCATTCAATTTCAAAGAAGTCTAAGAAGTCACCAATAATGACTAAACCGCATAGACAACTTCACGGCAGCCACACAGGGATAAAAGAGATGAAAACCAAAATGTACTGGAGTCATGCTGCTTTCCTGGTATTGAAGTAATCAAACTTTAAAAAAGAAGTGTCCCACAGTAGCCATTTGAGGCTACCAGTTATCTTAGTTTGTTGTTTTTCATGAATGAACTCAAATCTTGTAATTAGTTAAATGTATATGCCCTGAATTATCACAAGTATGCGCACAGCCAAACATTACACCCACATTTTGAAACCAGGCTGAATGGGAGCAAATCTCTGCAGCCAGGTTCCAGTGATTGGTGATAAGACCCACAGCTGGGTGTCTAACCTCGTCCCAGGTGTCCTCAAGGTGTTTGATGGGATTCAGATCAGCACTCTGCTACCAAACTAGGTCTGTTACCCCTGACGCAGAGAGCCATTTTTTTTATGAACCTCACTTTGAAAAACATTGTCACATTGAAACATTGGGTTGAACATGGAGGTACACTTTTTTCATTGCAATCATTATACATACAGTAAACAATCAAAAATAGCTGCAGAAGAAGCACAACAGAAACTGTGTGTGTTTTGTGTTTTCGGCTACTTGCTTGAATAGTCCCAGGCTAGCTTTGTGATTTATTTGTATTTTTTTATTGTCGTTTGCTGTGGTTATGATTGATGATTATTGAAGAGCAAAGCTGACATGGGGATGATCATTGTTCCATGCCTGCCTCATCAGTCAATGTATCCTTATACAATAAGAGTTATTTTTGAATATCCAGCAAAACAAGGCAACAAACCACTTAGAGAGGATACCGAAAATATGGTGGTTTGGGTTAAATAAATATGCAAGTTGTCTTCATTAAGTACAGATGTAACAAATAAATCAACAGTGATTTCTTGTTTCACACGGGACACAAACAGCGTTCTCCTATTGGGGAAAATATTATGATTTTGGAACCATCAACCCTCACCTATAGCAGTAGGACTGACGCACAACTGTTTTATCATACATTACCAATCATGTCTCACAATTGAATGGAATGTATTTTAACTGATTACTTGCGTCATATACAAGTTATATTGCATTACCAGAAAGAGTCATAAGAAGATCGGTGATGCAGCCTTTGTAAATTACGCCCCAAAACTGTGGATCACGTTACCCAACAATATTAGGGAAGCCAATACATTAGGCATTTTTAAAAGGCAGCTTAAAACCTTAAACCTTAAAATCTCTTTACCAAAGCATTTTACTGATTTTACACTATTATACTGCACTATTCTCTGTGATTGACATTGCACTATTTCTCTATGTTATATTCCCCATGTTTTTATTTTTAATTATTTTATCCCATTTTATGCGTTGCTCTTGCTGCTTGTTTTACACTGATTTTATGTCTTGTTTTTTACTGATGTAAAGCACTTTGAACTGCAATCCCCTGTATGAAAGGTGCTATATAAATAAAGTTATTATTATTATTATTACTTTCCTAGGTATAAGTACCAACAGTTTAGGAGAAGAGCCTACATCAGTAGTTGAAACCCTCTCTCTATCTTTATTTTGTCACGAAAGTACATGCACACAGTACTATAAAACAGTAGTTGTTGTGTAATATCAGTATGCAATACAATAATTGTACATTTCACACAAGCAAACATTTGCAACAACTTTAAATACACTTACATAACATCATATATTAGCATCAATAGGGATACAAATAACACAGTATATTGAAGGCCACATCACTGTGTCTTACCATTAACCCAGATAACAACCATCATACCACGTTTACAATTTCTAATCATAACATCACTATTGTGTCTTGTTTATATTAAACCACTAATATCTAACACAGCGTTCGGCTAAACCATCTGTAACATAAAATCCAACAGGGTCTGCATGCGAGAGTCAAACGTGGGATCATAAATAATATAAGGGCACTGACATCACCATCACACCACAGCGCTTGTAGAGAACATTTTTGTAAAGCAGGCAAAGCAACCTCCTGCTCCTCCGTCCTCCCCATGTGACTGACAAAGGTGACCCTGACCGCAGTTTTGTTTCTTTCTCTATCACTGTGTAAAGATTGGATGTCAGTACATAACACTGGTAGTGAATAGGACTACTGGGTATTGTAAGTAGGGTGGAAAACTGCTGTAAGGCTATAAATGGTCAAAACTCAGCTCTTATTGTTTATATATGGACAAATGTGTATCAGTAAAAAATGCATTGTGCACAGTACCTAATGATGCTGACATGGCTTTTAAAGGACTTTTTATTGTATTTTCTTTATGGTCTTAAAACATTTGTTGTACAGTCTTGAATATAAAGCCTTCAATAGCCTTTAAATTAATTAGGTGTATTATTACCAAATTAGAGGTTGGTATTTAGTGGCTCTGCAGTGTTGCTAGTGGTTACGAAATGTTTTTGCACTTGGCTAATAGGGGACAAAGAGAAGAGGAGGACTCAGTTACTCATTTTTAGAAACGTTGAATTACTTTTTTTACACATTTGTGCCATGGGTTGGTAAAATCATCAGCTGTATGTTCCACATACATTTTCCTCTCGGCTGTGTGAATGTGGTGTCGAGGATGTGGGCACAACCTCATCATGGCGCCCTTCAGTTTCTCTATGACTTCACATGTTTATGTTGATGGGATCCCGAGGGAGCGGTTGCAGCAGTTAATGACAAATACATATGCACAAATGAAAGCCCCACACAGCTCAACTGCCATGCCGCAGACCACCACCACAACTTAGACACAACTTTGTTTTTCTGGACCCTGATGCTAAATGATAACAGCAGTTACGTCACACGGGGCTCTTAACCCCCTTCTCAGCATGTGGATGCATAGAAGGACTGGCTCTCTTCTGGCTGCCAGCTCACGACTGAAGATCAAACCGCCCCACCCAGCCTTTCTCAGTCCCGCCACCCATGTCAAATGCTGTTTTCCATCAGAAATGTCTGAGTGTTTGAGACATTTCTGTCACCAGGTGGCAATGGCATATTTAAAGGGAAGATATTCCAATATAGGGCGAATGCTGTAAACACATGCTCTTTCTAATAAAATGACTTAAGTAAGGTAGTCAATAATAATGTACCTGATAGTAATGTTACTAAGCACTAAGAATAAACTGATACTGCAGTGGCTTAAATCAAGTAACTAAAAACATTCAACAAACAAATATGTTAACTAGTTATTCAATGTATCTGCTTCCGTAAAACGAAATAAAACCCCTTTGAGTATGCATGTTATTTTCCAACCGTTGGAAAAACATTTTTATGAAAGCAGCATTAAATGACATTACATTGCGGTAACTGAGGCATATTGAACATTTTCGTTAGCAGATGAGCAAACAATAAATCGTAATTAAGTACAAGCGTGCACAAGATTTGTTTTGATCTATTTACTTTCTATTGTCGACATGTCCTATTACTAAGGCAATTGTTACAATTCATACATTTTCTAGTTTGTTTTCGAGTTCTTTGACACAAACTGCAGGTATTTAATTTGAATAGGCACTACAATGCACTAATGCCCTTGCCACACGAGGACGAAAACGGTCCAACCATGCGCGGGAAGTCTTCTTTGCTGCTTTTGTGCAGGACTACAGCGCCACTCACAGGCCTGGCATATGTACTACAGCGTTTCGAGCGGTCTCGTGTGGACGGAAGACTTTTTTGATAACGATTGCGGTCCGTTATCGTCCTCATGTGGCAAGGGTATAAGGAAGGATGTGCTGTAGTCCTGTCTCAGTATTGTTATCCATTTTGAAGCCTGTTGATTTTGTAACAAACAATGCTCTTTCCACAGGAGGTCTTTCACCGTCTGTATCTCATCTACACAGTCGGGTACTCCATCTCTCTGGGATCACTCATGGTTGCTGTCGTCATCTTGGGATATTTTCGGTGAGTCGATGCAGTGAAAATGTTCCAATTAATCCTTTCAACCACAGAGGCTCCCAAATGAAGCAGGGATCGAAACAGAGTGTAAAGGTTTACCAGCATGATGGCACAATGAAAATGTCTTACCATGTTATACGTCGCAAACATAGATAACAGAAAGCATTTTAATGTTGTGATGGCTTAATGGCTTTGTCATGAAATCATGCGATATGCCACAGCCTTTATAAGCATGCGATGGAGTGTGTCACGACAAAAACACGAAGCATGCAAACTGAATCAAACATTACCTTTGATCTTTACTTTGAGTTTTAACAGACTATGATATATCCACCTTTGAGGAAGAATCTGCCTTCAGGCTTGCAGGAGCGCTGTGACATTTAAGTTCTTTGTTATGTTTATGCTGATTTCAAGACTCAATGAACAACAGCCAAAGCTCGGATATTGATTCTGTTATTCCGATATGCTTGCAAAGATTACAGGTCTTAAGCCTTTTGCCTTTATCCTTTCCCTCTACTACTCCCACAAATAAAGAAAATAGGGAAGTGCTTAAAAATGTGAATAATTGAGAGGGAAATTCTAAGCTATTGCATTTGAACAGCTTTGCTTCTCCTACTGTAGGAATGTTAAATATATATTTGATCATTAAAGAAAAACCCTAAAACAAGGTTGAATTCATTTAATTTTTGAGGCAACAGTTTGTTTTTTTCCCAGCTAATTAATGCAGGGCACATTTGTCCTTATTTGCTTATATGTTAAGCATGGGGAGTATCAGGAATCGATGTGAAGGCGCTGTTTACCAATGTTCCCACCAGCGTGACTTACCATACAGGCAGGCAGTCAGACGGCTTTAGGAACGCTCCCAACTGGCACCAGGAAATCTATGGGCCAAATTAGTTTAATAAGTTATCCCATGGGCCCTTCTGACATTCTGGCTCCGGAGCTCTCCAGCCATGTCTCCCCTTGAACATGTCAGCTTTTGGACAGGAGAGCTCGTAAATGTTTTCCAGGGAGAGAAAAGGGATATTTGACATTAGAAGTTGTGTTCATAATTTTTCACGAGGGAAATGTGCGCTAGATTAGTTTTCCCCTTAAATCAATATCTCTCTAAGGATAGCTTGCCAAATATTCAGCTCATTAATGAGGCTTTAGAAGAAAAATAGCTAATAACGAATAGATTTGTTTCTCCTATAAGCAGTATTGTTCACGTTGGCTTTTAGAATGAATTAAAATATTATGAACATTCAGTTGTATTATTAGTTTTTATTGTATTTGTATAGCATATTCAAATGCTGGAGCATCCCCCCAAAGGCCCGCTCCACAGTAAATGTTCAGACAGGATGTTTTGGATGAACTTTTGACAGATAAACTCGTGATCGTCTGGAAGCAAATTTGCATGCTTTTCTCAACACATGCTTGCAATTTTGGTTTTTACAGCTCCCTTTGAGCGGAGCAATTCAATATTTGTGCATCTCAAGCCCCTAAATCTCAAGAATGTGTTATAGTCAGCAGCGTGGAACTCAGCTGGCTCTAATTAGGATGTGTGTGTGTGTGTGTGTGTGTGTGTGTGTGTGTGTGTGTGTGTGTGTGTGTGTGTGTGTGTGTGTGTGTGTGTGTGTGTGTGTGTGTGTTTGAAAGTACTTGCACACAATTACATGAAGTTGTGCCAGCACACACACACACACACACACACACACACACACACACACACACACACACACACACACACACACACATACAATTTACCAAAGGTCTCTCTTTTGACCTTGCCGCTCTTGTTTGTTTTCTCCCTAGACGATTGCACTGCACCAGGAACTACATCCACATGCACTTATTTGTGTCCTACATGCTAAGAGCTATCAGTATTTTTGTGAAAGATGTTGTGCTCTACTCTGGATCAGCCGTAGAGAACATGGAAAGAGTCACCGTGGAAGACCTCAAGTCCATCACTGAGGCTCCGCCAGCCAACAAAACACAGTTTGTAAGTACACCAGCACAGCACACTCTGACCTTAACGGAGAAAAGATTAAGGGAAAACCACTCACTGAAAATCATGTGTATGCCACAGCAAGCGAAAAGACACATAATGGTACTTTTTCAATGTAACATACAGTATTGATATAGGTACAGTGTGCCATCAGGCCAATGAAGGATTAACTGTTTTTTATGAAAGTCCTAACAGGAATCCTCCTTGTTTCATTGTGTTTCATGAACAGATCATTGAACTTATCGTGTAGTTGGGCATTAACGTTTTGCTTCCAAAAAGGAAGTTGTAATTTGCAAGTCTCACCTGCATTTCCCGTGCTGGAGCAAATAAACGGCACGGTTTGTCCCCATGCCAAGCTTTTACTAGGCCAGTACTTGGCTTTCCCTTTCAGAGTCAGGTTTCAAAAATGGGTGAAGACTGGACACTTTTCACGCATGCTTAAAAACGCAAATAAACAATTTGTGCAATTTATTTAGTGGGCACATCCTGGCTCTAAATTGTGTTTCACTGGATTAAGCATATGCAAACTTGGAGCGAATATTGATATCGCTCTTCTCCTAGGTAACCTGCTTCAGTGCAGATTGTATTTGTGCAAGAGTTTATTCTTGCCTTAAATAATGGCTAGAGTTTTATTTTGGCTTTAGTTTTTTATTAAAGAGGCATTTTTATTATAATTGGAAACACTTTTACATTATTATTTAGGAGGAATGTTTAATTGTTAAGGCACTTGTGATATTTGATCTTCAAGTACATATTTGTTTTGGTTCGGAACTTCCTCTCTATCTAAGGAATCAGTACTGCCAGTCAAGTATGTAGCAAATAACCGCTCTAATGAAAATAGAAATTGGCCATTGTTCAACACTAATACTATTAAAAATATCTCTGTTGATCTATAGTTTTAGTGCTAAAAGGTTTCATGTTACCTTTCATTTGCACATTTCATTTGCTGACAGCATATTCATCAACATTCATCATCAAACATCAGACTCCTAAACATCTGCATTATTTTTAGTCCGTAACAAGAACCTTATACTCAAGCTTTTAAAATCAGTTGTATTAAAGAAATTGGAAAAAAATGTGTTTGTAGAAAACAAAAATATCCAAAGTCCCCATGGCTAAATCCCTGCTGTAGCCCAGAAATGCTTTTTAGAATACACATTGATGAACAACCAAAGCTAGACCACAGTGTGGAGGTTGAGCCGAATCGATGACTGACTAAATTAATAAAGACTTCTGGGACTTTCTGTCAATGCAACAAGAACATAATAGGTTTTATTATTTATTTATATTTATAAACCCAAATTGAGGGGCTAACTACAGAGGGATGGAGGATAGAGAGCTGAATTGATCAAATTGACTTGACTAGACCCTGTTTATTCCACCAAATTATGATCAGCAAGAAAATGCTGTAAATTAAAGGCGAAGTTTAAGTATACTTATCTATAAAAAGTTCATTTTTCAAGTGAACTTGTGATTGCACTTTTAAAGAATAACATTAGAATAAAGCTTGGGCTTCAACAAGTGTAGATAATGAATCAAGACACTGTGTCAGAGACAAATAACAGGGTGTGAATAACACAAGCACTAACATTATTTAAATTATGTACATTTTTTGTGCAAATCAGTATAATTAGACTGTTCGCTCTCAGAAAAAAACGTCTTCCTTCTATACTGATTATAGATGGCATTATGTTGTCTGACATCAAACACCAACTGCATCTCATCTGTAGCAATGTCATCAAAGTGATGTCTCCATAGTTTCTTGCTAATACAATGTCGTATCTGAGCAGAGAGGAGGTTGAAGCCAGCCAAGATGGAGGTGTTGAGTGCTGAAGTAGCGGGGTGATACACATGAATGAATACATCAACACAAGAAGCTTCACAAACTCATTTGTTGACCTCATTTCAGCCTCCCAGGAATGTCCCGTAGTAGAACATCTTCAGTTATCAAGTTACCAATTCTTAGACACACGTTAGCCAATTAAAGGATCTGAAAACTGGAAAGATGTGATCCACTTTCATGGTCTTTCTTGTACTAATGAGGGTCTCCGAAAGCATGCATTCAGTCAGCTGCAGCTGTCTGTTTTGATGGACTCTTACAGTTTTCTGGAAAGTGTTCAAAAAGTGGGACTTTTTGTCGGTGTGGGTATTGATTAAATCAGTTTTCCTTTTCTGTTGTTTGTGTATAGATCAGCTGCAAGGTGGTTGTGACCTTGTTCTTGTACTTTCTGGCGACCAATTACTACTGGATCCTTGTGGAAGGTCTTTACCTCCACAGCCTCATCTTTATGACCTTCTTCTCAGACAGAAAATATCTATGGGGATTTACTCTGATTGGATGGGGTGAGTTATGTTTCATTTACATTCTACACATGCATGTGATTGCAATATGATTAGTGGACTTGCCAATGCTAATTAAAACATTAAATATGTTAAGTATTTTGTAAGGTTGTTATGGTCTGATTAATCATGTTAAAAAGAGAGAGAAATCTGCTGTCATATCCCTGATATTGCATTTTATATATATATATATATCTCAGGACAGTAGAGAATGACTCATACCTGTAAACAGTAAACACACTGGCTGAATATGGGCTTTACAGTTCCTGCATTGTACACACTGTGCGTGTAAGTGACTTAAGCACAGCGCATACAATGTGGATGCTGTGCTACCCGGGTTCTACCAATACTGACAAATAATGGATTTTTTAAAGACTTATTGAGATTATTCTATATATATATATATATATATATATATATATATATATATATTATAGTAATGGTTATTTTATCACAGCATCTTTAATTGGTTTAATTGTATTTCTCAGGAGTACCAGCTATGGTTGTGACAGTTTGGGCAACTATGAGAGCCACGTTTGCAGACACAGAGTAAGTGATCTGTAAAAATACATATTTTATATATCTTGGTACATAAATATAGAGAGAATTACATTTGGCCTCAGTAGTTTTACTTCGCTGATCAGATGTGGGATCTGCGGAAATTCTCCTTCAACAGATTTGCATATCCACATAAGGCTGTAACAACAGCATATCTAAGGTTCAAGATAACAATATCGCATTCTTCACAGATTCTGATTACCGAGTACACCATACACTTGCGTAGTAAAGCTTGAGGACAGCTTTAAAAGCTGTGAAGAATTAAAGTGGAGAGAATACCTTCAGAGAATACTGCCTTAAACCAACTTTGAGGACCGTGGACCCCCCTCTTACTGACTAGCTGTAGTCTCCACATTGGTCCTGGACCACAGTCAAACATGAAGGACCATGGAGCTGAGAGCTTACGGCTAAGCTGGTATCCGGCTGATGTCCAGCACATATTTCACTTATCATTCAGCAGGAGAGCAGCTCCCTGCCACGCATTTTGGGCAGGAAAACAAACTAAGTTTGATAGTAACCAAAGCTGTAGTAAATTATTTGGGATGTAATAAACATTTGGCTGAAAATCAAACCTATTTACAGCGGACCACACTGGTAATACTGACCCACTGTTAACGTTTTTACCCAGTTCTGTGATATTTGCCCCAAAAGGACAGGAAAATCACGTGGTTCAAAAACAGGACAGTGCCCTACTTGGTAGCTTTTGGAAAAATTAACAATATTTTATACCAACTGAAGCCTAAGGTTTTCTATTTCAAAGGAATACTAAAAAGCATTTTCAGAAGTACGAAAACCTTTGAAACATAAGGGGGCTTGATGTGAAGCCCAAGGGTTATGAATCAATTCAGTAGGAAGGAAATGACTCAAATTAATTTCTCAGTGGTTTTATATGATACTTATATCGAATCAATTTGAGCGATGGGGGAAGATAGAGCAAATATGGTGGGTAAATCTCCGTCTAAATCCTATGATTAGTATGAAATGATGGCAGTGATAATCAGAGACACCGCTGGTGACCTGAGGGATCCTGGATCATCACAGCTAGCAGCGAGATCCTTACTCATCTTTTGCTGATCCTTATGTTGTTTATCTGCTGCAGGTGTTGGGACTTAAGTGCAGGCAATTTGAAATGGATATACCAAGTGCCAATCCTGGCAGCTATAGTGGTAAGTACATGCTCACTGCTTGCACCTCTCGCCTGCTGAGCAGTAAATAACACCTGTGGCATAACAGTTGTTGGATAACATCTCATTAGGTTTATAATTACACTAACTGATATCATTATGTTCCTATTTTCTCTTCAGGTCAATTTTATGTTATTTCTGAACATCATCAGAGTCTTGGCAACTAAACTACGAGAAACAAATGCTGGCAGGTGTGACACCAGGCAACAGTACAGGTACTGAGACAAGATATACAAGACTAGCTGCTCCTCTTCATTCATCAGATGTATGGATCACTGTCAGTGTAATAAAACCATGAATATATTTACTCTTACTGCATCAGGCCACATGTACAAGTAAGGCTGAATGTGTTATCGACTAGTCAGTCTAATGCATTTCATTGATTTTGGCTTCAAATGGTTGCTAAATGTGGAAAAGGCCTTTCACAATATTCAAGGTTATGTCTTTCAATAGCTAACACTTGAGCTGCAAACAGAATTCTTGTTGGAATCAGCCTTCTTTGAAACTACTCAGGATTGTTGTTTTCTGTTTCTGTTTTAGCTCTTTAATCTGCAGATGGTTTGGCACACTATGTAGTATTATGTTAAGTTTGTCTGTTTTCTTACCGTTACAGAAAACTGTTGAAGTCCACGATGGTGTTGATGCCTCTCTTCGGTGTCCACTACATCATATTCCATGCCATGCCGTATACAGAGGTGTCTGGAGTTCCCTGGCTGATCCAGATGCACTATGAGATGCTGTTCAACTCCTTCCAAGTAAAGTTTCTGAAATTTCAGAAAATGTTAATTTAGCTCTAAGGGTCCCAATACATATTAATGTATCCTTTCAAGTTGAACAAATGTGATCTGATCATGTTTGGTAATGGTTAATGCATCGTTATCATTAAAAAACCAAACCCTGTCAGATTACTTTTAAGATGTTTGGTTGTAGTTAGATTTCAATTTAGATAAAGAGGAAGAGAGGGATGGCTTATGATTAGAAATACCATGCAAAATATCAAATTATACAGCTCAAATGTCATGTTGTTAAACACGGCTAGTCTGTATATTCATGAAATAATTCTCTTCTCTTTTCCAGGGATTCCTAGTTGCAATTATATACTGCTTTTGCAATGGGGAGGTAAGAACTCAGCTTGGCATCTTACACAACGCGCTCCTGCATGATTTTTAAGCTCCTACATGACTGAGTAACTTCTTTTTGATCTCAGGTGCAAGCTGAGATCAAAAAGTCGTGGAGCAGGAGGACTTTGGCCCTGGACTTCAAAAGGAAAGCTCGGAGCGGCAGCAACACTTACAGCTATGGTCCGATGGTGTCACACACCAGTGTTACCAACGTCACTGCCAGAGGACCGCTGGCCCTTCACCTCACCACCAGGCTGGGGCCGGTGCCTGTTAACGGGCACAGGAACCTGCCTGGGTACGTGAAGAACGGCTCTGTCTCTGAGAACTCTTTACCCTCGTCAGGACAGGAGCTTCACATTCCTGATGAGGAGCATTCGGCTCATACTCGGCCCTGCGAGAACGAGAAACCCTCACCTGTGGTGGAGGAGGAGAGGGAGACAGTCATGTGACCTCCAGGCCACTTTTGGTAGGGATGAAAACTGGAAGAAAATAAATGAAATCAGTCTCAGGGGGTCTGAAGGGGACGACGGCGTGCATCAACACTGACAGTTTTTTCTGCTTTGAATCAAGCCAGGACGTTCCCGACAGATGAGGTTCGAGGCATAAGGGTGTATCACTTTTATGTGCTGGGCCACCTTCATTTGAGAGATGATGGACTCTGTCGCCAACCACCTGCCACATTGAATGTGTAGAAGGATGAAAACAGACTATTGTTTCATTTTTTTGTGCATACATCAAACTGGGGTTAAATACAGTGCAGTACTTGCCAGGAAAAGCCTTAACCACCGGTGTAAAACCAGGTGGATTTTGAGTGTACTTAGTGACACATGCATGCATGATTACATCAGTGTGATCAGACTAAGTAGGTGTAGGGTGAGCTAAAAAATGTTAATGCTACTATTTTTTGAGGCATCTTTTCTCGCTTTCTGGCATGGTATCTCATTAGTTGTGCGTAGACATGAATCCACTTCAGTGTAAAAGGGAAGGTACTCAGGTAATTGAAGCCCTCTTTTGTTGCTCAGCTATTTGTATACTTTTAAAGTGGTGTATTGTCATGGTCAGCATTTCTCCAGGGGTGTGTTATCTAAAGCTGTAAAATATATATTTAACATGTTGTATGATTTCAGATGTTTAGAAAAACCCAGTATTCACCTCTCTAAGTACAACAGATTTTGACGAGTTCAAATGAATGTTTCATATTCAAAGTTTCTACAAGGTCACACAAACGCACAACATAATGCTACACACAGTGAGAATATCTCTTTGAAGACGGTCTCTTTCCTTAGCCTCAGATACAGAGTTAGTTGAGGTAAAAACTTAATTAAAAGGTATCATATGTTCCCACACAGTTTTCAAAAGACAGGACCCCCTTTAAAAACACAGGGTGCAGGAAGCAGTCCTATTTCAGAGGAATGTTAATTAAATGAGGATTCCAAGAAAATCTCAAATTCCACAAGAATTCCAAGAGTGACATTTTTGGTGGAAATGAAGGAAAACTCAGAAATGAATAACACACAGTTATTTGTACAGATGGTCCAGTGGTATGCTGCTTTTTGATGTGTACAGTATATACAAGTCACAATGTTTACAAAGATCAGAAATGCATTCTAATTGTGAGCTAATAGTGTTCATGTGTTTTGTTATAAAGCTATATGTTTTAATGTTTTTTTTATCATGTTTGTTTACGGAATGTTTGCAATATTAGATAATGTATATATTTCTAAACAAAACTGCCGAATATATTTACAGGTGACGAATGGCATTCAAACAAAGTAAGCATTCTGCAAGACATTTTAAACTCCATAATTTGTAATTTATCGCACTTAATCTGCATGAAATGCTGGTTAAGAAAACATTATCTGTTAAACCAAAGAGAACATGTATTTTAAAGTGTTTCTTTGTTTTTCATTATCCATCTTGTTTACACTGACCAAAACGTCTTAAAACCACCCTCTGTCATAAAAAGGATTTGCTACTGGTAGGTAGATAGAAATACAGAAATATAGCCCCCACAAAGATTGAGTTTTCGTTCCAAATATTCTAATGTAAATAGCATTAAGACAAATGAGAAAACAATTCGAAACACTCCGTTGACAACACAATCATTAATATTTAAGGCAGTTGTGTTGCTCTACTTGGAATTGCGTCATATATCACTGTTTGGTTATCTGTCTGATGGAGTTGTGAGAGTTTTACCTCACATCACTTACTTTATGTGACCAAAGCTAATATTCTACGCAGTATTTTTTCTCGCATTTCTTTAAATCCTACAGTCATGAACTTCAAGCTCTCTTGTTCTCCTGCTTCTTTGTTGTTTTGATGACTTCACACTGACTGAATCGTGTTCTCAGCTGTGTTCCACCTGATGCTAGATCCATTAAGAGGTTTGCTTTGAGGCTGGTTTAAAATGTTAAAGCATGGCCAGCTCTTACTGCCTATACAGAGTTACAATGCATCCAAAAAATAAATACAAATTAAAGTAATTTGTATTTAATAAATGAATCGGATATCTTTACAAACTTTTCCCACCCCCCTTTAAAAAAAAAAAAAACTTTTAAAAGGCTGGTTATCACCTTTGTTTCCTTATTTCAAAAAATCCCATAAAGATACCAGAACAAAAAGAGAACTGATACACAGAAAGTCTAAAATAACTATTCCTCTGCGTCATACATGTCTATTATTGCCCACCAAATGAGTAACAATCAGCAGCTGAAAATAATCCCTCACAAATGCACTATTTACACATTCCTGAATAATGATAGCTTGAAGCTAAATAGCCCTGCTTTTATATTGCTTAAAAAATGAAACTACATATCAGTAACCTCAATATAGAAGAATATACAAGAACCAATGATAAGCAGTGGAAAAGAAGCGGGTTTTAGATCTTAAACATTTCCATGGGGGTTGGTCATTATTGCAGGAGGCTGCAGTGAAAGGCTGGAGCGAGACCTTTGTCTCTCGATAATACAGTATTTGAAGATCTCAATTTTTTTCTTCATATTTAACTAACTTCTTTTAGCTGGTATGTATTGCATCTCTGACAATTCTGGAAACCTTTTCTGAATTTATCCATACAGCTGTAAAATATTTTATTAAGGCGATTGTTCAATTTCAATCAGACTTTCCACGTATTGCCAACGTGCAAGTAAACGTTATCTAACTTTTGTGTAAGACCGTATTTTTTATAGAAAAGGTGGATGGTATTGAAAAAATAAATCTTTAAAAAAATGTGGATAATTATATTTGAGCACTTTAATACTCTATAATAAAGTAAGTTGTTCTGATTGTATCATGTAAAATGATTGTGTTTTGGAATCAAGTGTACGATAAGGCCAATCATCACAGAGCTAATGTTGTATTTCATTGTTTTAAGATACCTCTCAAGGAAGTATATAAATTATGTGGTTGTTTTTTTATTTATCTTGTGCCGAAATGTACTCAGTGCAGTCAACATTGGTCTTCATGCTTTAAATATAGTATGTGGGCAGTGTTGTGCATGTTCGCCTTCTCATCACTATGTAGTGATTTGGGAACGTTGTATATATCAGTGTAAAATTGGATTAAAATAGTAAAGTGTTTTTCTGTTCTATAATGTTCATCAGTGAATTGTGAATAAAATAATAAATCTGTAATTTTACTGTACAGAGATTCCTGCAACGTTCATTATTCTGAAGTAGACAAACAAGGCATGTTCTTATATATAAGATGTTTGTTTATTTCAAATATAATATACAAATGTCGTCTTAGAAAAAAAAGTGTGCAAAAATGCGTGAAGTGAAAAATATGAAATAATCGTTTCTGTCCTGTGAAGGCAGAGATCACTTCTGAGCTTTTTTGGCTCCACCTTTAGCCCCTGCTTTTCCTCCTTTTTCTCCTGCTTTTCCTCCTTTTTCTCCTTTGCCTCCCTTTTGTCCTTTGTCTCCTTTGTCTCCCTTTTGTCCTTTGTCTCCTTTGTCTCCCTTCTCTCCAGATTTATTTCCTTTCCCATCACCAGCTTCTTTCTTGGATTCTCCCTTTTCACCCTTCTTTGTTGATGGATCCTTTTCATCTTTCCCCCCTTTAGCAGCCTTGCCATCCTTCTTTCCCTCTTTGGTCTTCTTATCTCCTTTATCCGCATCCACTTTGCCGGAAACGGTTGTCACCTCCTCTTTTTCTTCTACTTTCGCAGCTGTGGAAAACAAAAGAAAATCATTAAGGTATCATCTGGGTCCTGCCTGTAACGCTAAATGGGAGGAAGATTTTAATCCAACTGAATGTGGAACTAATTAGGATGCATTTAATTAAGTCGCATCTGTTTCTATCTGTACTAATAAGCAGTGGTGTAGTGGGCGTTGGACGCGGGGGTACGCCGTACCCCCACTTATTTGGAGCATGATCTTTTTTTTTAATAGTCTAATAAATATAAAATCATTGCCAGTCTTATCAGTTGCAAGTGTGTATTTGTTGTAATAATGACAAAAACATAATACATTTCACAGTAATGGCCTATAATAAAAAATAAAAACGATTTCCTTCCAAAATGATGATTCGTCATCACGCTCGTGACCCCGCGGCGAGCCGTGGGTGTGTCAGTGACACACCCACGGCCAGCTCACCGCCCGCCGATTTTGCGGCAGCTCTTTCCCTCAAGCACGCTAACGAAAAAGCTCTATAATGGAAGGAAAACGTTTTGTACATGACTTATTTTCTAAAAAGAATATAATTCACAAGAAGAAAGAGGCTAGCAGCACCGAAGCTACAAGTGAAGCTGCTACTAGTACTACATCATCAGAAGAGCCGCCTAAAGACGTGGATAATGCTAGCTAACGTGCACGTTAGCTGCGCTAGCAACGTTCCCCTGACTAGCTCAAGTTCACCTTTCCCAGAGGTATGGACGGAGGAGATGTGGCAGAGGAAACAAGAGGCATGCCCGTGGATAGACTGCAAAGCTGGGAAACTGGGCTGCTGTTCATCCATTTAGGATTTATCAGTCTTCAAAACCCAAGGTGTGTGTGTGTTTGCGTGTGTTTCTGTGTGTGTGTGTGTGTGTGTGTGTGTGTGTGTGTGTGTGTGTGTGTGTGTGTGTGTGTGTGTGTGTGTGTGTGTGTGTGTGTGTGTGTGTGTGTGTGTGTGTGTGTGTGTGTGTGTGTGTGTGTGTGTGTGTGAGAAGCAGCGCTGTCTGCTTATTTGCAATGTAGGCTAGGTCTAATCAGAATAATTTCAAGTCCAGATTCAATGTTTGCATTAGTAGGCTATATTTTTCGTTTCGTTTATTTAATAAGTTAATTTCAGGACAACTTTGGGAAGTTTGTTTGTTATGAGTTTTAAATAGATTTTGAAAGTGGAGATAGAGAGAAGCAGCGCTCTCTGCTTAGTTGTACCTTATGCAATTTAGGCTTATAAGTTGTTGTAATTTGGTGTCTTCACAGGTCTCACTAAAAAATCTATTAGGAAGCTGCAGCTAATTCAGAACGCTGCTGCTCGAGTCCTCACTAACACTAAGAAATTGGATCACATCACTCCTGTTCTGAAGTCTTTACACTGGCTTCCTGTGTGTCAAAGAATAGATTTCAAAATACTGCTGCTGGTTTATAAAGCACTGAATGGTTTAGGCCCAAAATACATTTCTGACCTCCTGCTAAATTATGAACCATCCAGATCTCTCAGGTCTTCAGGGACTGGTCAGCTTTCTGTCCCCAGAGTCAGAACTAAACATGGTGAAGCAGCGTTCAGTTATTATGCTCCAAATATCTGGAACAATCTCCCAGAAACCTGCAGGTCCGCTGCAACTCTAACTACTTTTAAATCCAGGCTGAAGACTTTTCTTTTTGTCGCTGCTTTTAATTGAACTATTCATATCTTAGACTGCACTGTAACTTTTATCCATGTACTTTTTCTTTTAATGTTTAATTGCACTGTAACTTTTATCCATGTATTTTTTCTTTTAATGTTTATTTTATTAGCTTTTCTTTTTAATGACTGATTTTAAATGCCATTTTCTTAATCTCTTTCATTTTTTGTAAAGCACTTTGAATTGCCTTGTGTTGGAAAGTGCTATATAAATAAACTTGCCTTGCCTTGCCTAATTTATGTGCCAGTGTGTCCATGGTTTTGAGTCTATGTGTGTGTTGAGCGCAGCGCCGTCTGCTTTTTGAAGTACAGTAACTAAAGTCCTCCCCCCTCCTCACTTCTGTCAAGCGACTTTGTTACCCACTTTGAAAAAAAGGTTAATGATATTCGCTCTTCTTTTTCTGACTCACCTTTACTCACCGCTGGGTCACCAGACCTTCCTTCCACCAACACACTAACCTCCTTTTCCCCTCTCTCTCCAAGTGAGGTTCTTACCCTCATTACCTCTGCCCGCCCTACCACCTGTCCTCTGGACCCTATCCCTTCAAACCTCCTTCAGACTATCGCTCCTGATATTCTACCGTTTCTCACCCATTTCATCAACACTTCTCTAACTTCTGGTCACTTTCCAAACAGTCTCAAGGAGGCAAGAGTAAACCCTCTCCTAAAGAAACCCACTCTCAACCCGTCAGATGTTATAAACTACAGGCCTGTCTCTCTCCTCCCGTTCCTGTCTAAATCACTTGAACGCGCTGTCTTTAAACAACTCTCCTGTTATCTCAATCAGAACAACCTTCTGGATCCGCACCAGTCTGGTTTCAAGGCAGGTCACTCCACAGAAACTACTCTCATTGCGGTCACGGAGGAACTGCACACTGCCAAAACTGCATCCCTCTCCTCTGTCATCATCCTGTTGGACCTGTCTGCTGCATTCGACACGGTGAATCATCAGATCCTCCTTCGCACTCTCCAAAAACTTGGAGTTTCTGGCTCTGCTCTTTCCCTCCTCACCTCATACCTGAAAGACCGTACCTACAGGGTGACTTGGAGAGGGTCTGAGTCCGACCCTTGTCAATTAACTACGGGGGTCCCTCAGGGCTCTGTTCTTGGTCCCCTCCTCTTCTCCTTGTACACAAACTCGCTCGGATCAGTCATTAGCCCGCATGGTTTTTCTTACCACTGCTACGCTGACGACACCCAATTAATTCTGTCCTTTCCCCGCTCAGAGACCCAGGTCGTCGCACGCATCTCGGCTTGTCTAGCTGACATCTCTCAGTGGATGTCTGCTCACCACCTCAAGCTCAACCTTGACAAGACTGAGCTGCTCTTCCTCCCGGGAAAAGATTGTCCAACTCTTGACCTGACAATCAACATCGGCACCTCAGTTGTTTCCCCGACTCAGACTGCAAGGAATCTGGGTGTGACCCTAGATAACAACCTGTCCTTCACTGCAAACATCGCTGCTACAACCCCGCTGCTGCAGATACACGCTTTACAACATCAGGAAGATACGTCCCCAGCTGACTCAGAAAGCGACTCAGGTTCTGGTCCAGGCTCTCGTCATCTCACGCCTAGACTACTGCAACTCCCTCCTGGCTGGTCTACCTGCATGTGCCATCCGACCTCTGCAGCTCATCCAGAATGCAGCGGCTCGTCTGGTTTTCAACCTTCCTAAATTCTCCCACACCACTCCGCTCCTCCGCTCCCTTCACTGGCTTCCGGTAACTGCTAGAATCCACTTCAAGACACTGGTACTTGCTTACCGTGCTGCGAATGGATCTGGCCCTTCCTACATCCAGGACATGGTTAAACCGTACACCCCAGCGCGTGCACTACGCTCTGCATCAGCCAAACGACTCGTTGCGCCCTCGCTGCGAGGGGGACC